CATAGGAGACCAACCTTTAGCACTAGGTCTTTATAAAAATAAACAAATGTACATAAAAAATTTTAAACTTATTAAACATGAATGAAGCGAGGCTGAAAACCCTACGTACAAATCTGGCCAAAAGTAAAAGAAAACATTTTTGAGAATAATCTCACACTTTTAATTTCAATAGTTACCACAAGAATTAATGAGAGTCAAGAAACGCATCATCTTTTTCTTAATTTTCGACATCCACAAAATTTAGAAGCTAAAACGAAATCACATAAAGAACTCGAAAAAAGATCAAAAATAAGGAATCTGCCATTAAACTGCGAGACTTTCATAGAAACCGCTGTTATTGAATCAGTCAACAAATCTCCGATGTGAACAACCAATAAAAACAAAACGAAATAAAAAAAGAATCAATATCAACCAAAATCCAAATTTTTACGTTTAAAAAACTGAACAAATTTAGAAAGCCACTAGTATCTATCAAAAAATAATTAATATTACCAATTTTTGGTCAACTCCTAACTCACTAATATTTCGATTTGAAACCAGTATAACTAAAGTTAGTACTTTCCACTAAAATCTCACGCAGTCGAAAAGGCTGAGTGAACCAAGAATTCCAGAAGTGCCATCAGTTGTAATGTGGTCGGCCAAGCAGATTCTTCAGTTTCATTCCTTTCTACTTTTTGGAAGTGTTTTACTTGCAACTGATCAAATATCTATGAGAGTCGGAATTCGAATTTAAAGAAATACCAGTTTCCAATGTACTTTATTCCGCGGAAATAAGATATGCAGTATTTTTAAGTTGCTTCACTACGTGACGAAATTAGCAAAATTTTTAGAAATTTGCGGCGGAATCCCATAAACAAATTTCTTCTGGTGAAGAAACTACAATCAACATCCGTAGTCTCCTTCTAACTTCTACTCCTCTCTTATAAAAACCGACACATGAGTACTACACGAAAAGAATTAAAAACATTTCGTTTTAATCAGTAGTGAATGCTTAAAACCCTTATCGTCCCACTGCTTCCAAAAAAACCTCTTGACTGCAAATGCCACCCACGACGGTGCTTCCAAAGAGGGCAAACTCCCTTTCGCACACCTCAGTGGATATTGGCCTCAACTCACACCGTTACTTGAACTTGTTTCATTTTCATAGCGCCCACTACAACATTTCAATATACGCTTGTCCAACACAACCCTCATACTTCGCCTTCCGCCACATCTCAGCTGTTTTGGAGTCGCACTGTTATCCTGGCAGTATGCAACCCTCTCCTCTTTACTAAATGGAAGTTAATAAAAATTTTTGCTTCCTTCGGTCGAAAGATTAACTTAGTAATGTAGCTTACAACGCTAAATACAATGCATATTTTTGCTCACTAATGACTCCTTGAGCGCCTCATACTCTTTGACTTCATATTTCTATAGAAGGAAAGTACCAGAGAAATTACTCTCATATTGTCAAGTAACTGAATGAACGCTGCAGAAAACAAATTATTATAATATAATAAAAGTCGTATTCTTAGAGCTACATTCTAGCCCTTGAAGAAGTACACTAAATTATATGCAAACTATCATGTAAACTGCATAGAAAAGAAGACAGCCATAAATTTACTCGATCAATCAGCGGCGACATGCGGTAAAACCTTACATTAGTTCCCTCCTTCCCGTCCCTTCAACTGCAGAGGATTGCAATGAGAAAATGCCAAGTTTTTTTCCTGAATACAATATGGTACCTCTCGTTTGGCCAACTCTGTTGCTTTACCGTAATCTTCTACCCTAACAGTCATGCACTATACAGCAGTACTGGCACAGGTGAAAGTACCCTAAATTTTTTACCTTTTAGTTCCAAAGGAAGCATAACCACCAATGACGGTGCAAAAAAACAGTCAAAAGACTTTAAAGCTAGCCATTTATTCCACTGAAAGCCCAACAACTAAGCAACATAAACAGACAAGATAATAGGAAGCAAGGAGAAAAGGAACTTTCCCCAAGCAATAAAAAAATAAGTTTCTCTACCACCCCACAAAATTACAGTGCCTTCTCCACACGAGGAAATCAAAATAAAATTACCAGTGTTTGATTACAGCAGTATAGAAGTGCCTAGAACGATACATTATCCAAAGAAACAACGAAGATACTGTCCGACGACGTAAGGAAAACCAGATGATATTGAGAAAAGAACAGATATAGTAGACGACGATAAGAAAGAAAGTTTATCCTCACTGCAAAAGGAACAAGCCAAAAAAAATTTAGTTCTCTGACGTATCACCGCACCGCTTTGAAAGCTGGTTTAATAATGACGTGAAGCTTAGAAACACGCTCGACAATTAGTATTTTGAAGTGTCATAATGTATTATTACATTAATGACAAGACATTAACTGATTAACCACGATGACTAGTAGAAAATGTGAATTATACGTAATAAAAAGGTTAGTGATCAAACTGTAATAATGGTAAGGTTTAGTTTTTGGAAGTTTATTTGTTCCAAACCCACTGTACACTTTCAGTGCCGTCATATATTTGCAATTATACAAACAACGAATTTTACTGGAAATTGACTACACAATTTTATACAGCCCTTGCTGATTTGGACGACTGAAGAGGCCAAGAAAACCGAGAATTCCAATGTTAATCAACTAAAATATCAGCAGTGCAATCATCCCGCAATGTTTAATCAAAAATAAAGAAGTCAACGTCAAAGCACAAATGAAGCCACAATATCCTAATATTCAAATCTAATAAAAAATAACTCAAATAAACCACGTCCGCATCTTCTTTCCAAAATAGACATAACATTTGTTCATGATTCCCCCAATCCGACTCATGCAAACTGACCCCCTGCACCACTACGTAAAATACCAATTCCTTTTTGATGAGAAACAGCCTTGAAGCGAAGAATCAATCGCAGCAGAACCAGTAAAAGCTCTCAAATTAACGAGCCCTTGAATTTGGAACACCAAGACAATTAATTAAATATTTATTTTGTCATGCTTTCGAAGAGACTACTTCATTCTTGTAAACCGAGCTGTACAGCCCAAAAAAAATTCTGTTTCATATCCCCCCTTCTTCAATGTTCCAATCGAACTCCACCAGCAGAAAACTTCAAAATATAACTCAATTAAAACCAATAAATATTACCTAGCAACATACGAATGAGAGATTAAAAACAATTGCCTGCAACACGCAGAAAATTAAAGAAGACGTTCAAATACACGACCAAAGCCCACTTGATAGGGAAAAAGCTCTGTATTAATTTTTCACAAGTAGCAAAGATTCAAAGATTTTCACCATCAAGACTGAGTCAATATTTCACAACGAATTATCAACCACGGTGTCATCGGCTAACAGTACATATAAATAAATATCACACGCACTGTGAATAAAAACACTGTAGTAAGCGCAAATGAATTCCAAAAAACCGCTGAGTAGGCTTCACACAAACATAAATACAAAAACACACAAACGCACACACACACAAACGCGCGCACACACACACACACCATATTAGTCTTGATTTTATCAAAAAAGTAGCTTTCAGTATTCCCTCTAAAAAGTCATAAAAGAAAAACGTGAAAATTGGAAATGAGCAAAAATGATATACGACTGAAAATCGTTTGTGGACAATACAAACAATGGAAGGGAATTTAAGCAACACAAGACTGTGATCTCATATTCCCCGAAGTAAAAAAAAAGACATATCACACTGCAAATGACAACACAAATACTAGACCGACTTGCAAAACTGTAAGAAAATGAAAGGTATATGAAACAATTCAAGAAAAGCCTGCTAAACGTAATTATACTCCTCACTTTAAAAGAATTAAAATGCTATTTTACATTCCAAACATCGATTTTTTCTGCTTTACTACCGATAAATTCAAAAGTAATTTTTTAATTAACCTTTCAATTCTTAAAGAATGATCATTTCCGGTGGTCAAACCGCTCTGGATTACAAACCAAAAGACTTCAACATTTTTTCAGCCTTAATGTGCAACTGCAGTTTACTCACCAATATGTAACTCACCCGTTTGGTTCTCCGACTAATACCACAATAATTCGGTTTCAGAGCTTCGAAAAACACCTGGTATTCACTGAAATCTTTTTGCCGTAAAAGTTTGCTCATGCTTCCTCCAAATATCTTCTTCCTCTCTAACCTTACTCTACTACCCCTACTAAGTGCCTATGTTTTCAAGTGTCTTCAGACACACATAAAATTTTGGTTGGAGAGCCTGAGCGCTAACACATAAATAAGAGAAATGATAAAATAAAATAACAAGGGAAAATGGTTAAAACAGCAAAGGTTTCAAAAGCGTGAAGAACAGTATGCTGTGTGTTATCTAGCATTCTCCAAAAGTACAAAAAAGCTAGTATTATTATTAGCCTAAAACAGTAAAAATTAACAAAGAAACTTGTAACAGTGAATAAACTGCGGTATGCACGTCAAAAGCAAGAGCGGAAATTACAGTTCTTCCTTATTATTCAGTTCCATAACTGGTATGACCACTAAAACTACAACTCTTCAAATAAAATTAAAAACTTAATGAAAATGTTCTTCTTTTAATCTGCTACTAATTGTGCGAACATGACCAATGTTCAGAAAGCATGGCTTAAAAATAAAGCCTGTAGACAAAAGTTTCAGCAAAACGAGTGTCATTTAGGGGCTATTCTGCACGTTGGTGTCACAATAAACACTTAAAATGTCCCGTTGAAAAGAAATTAAATTTCAGAAGTTTGAACTCCACAACTTTTTTGACAAGGCAAAGATAAATGAAAAACGGTTATTTACCAATAATACGCCCTTCATCATTTCTGCTGTGTCATCCTCTGAGCCCTCCGCCTGCGTCGACGGAAACAACAGCACCTGAAGCACAATTGGTAAAAAAAAGTTCACAGTGGAGTTAAGTCTGAAACACTGTTTTTTAGACAGACGTCAACGTCAAGGGCAAAAATACCTTTAAGTTATTTAACAAACTAATCATATCTGAAAAAATATCCGTAAAAATAGTTATTACTTGACTTCGCTACTGTCCTCAGTCGGTAATACAGCTAATTGAGGTGGTGACCGAGAATCTTCAACTTCTCCCGGGTTCGAATTTATTACCTGTCATACAACTCTTTGGGAAAAAACAAGTTACTCAAAAGTTGAAAAAACAAAAGATCAAAAACTGTATAGATTTTAAACATGCGTTGCATTTATTTTGCGACTTCCTATCAGTAAATATAAAAACCCAAAAAATCTAGAATTAAATATCTACAAGAGAAACATTTAAGTGAGTCCGTAAGTTCACTGTTTTCACTGCAATTGAACAAACACTAGCGCAGTAAAAAGCGTGGCTCACCTGTGTGGAACCAAAACCACCACCATGCGGACCATCTAAACCCGGATCAGGTTTTAGAATGCCTTCTCGTGTTTTAGGGGCGTTAGATCTCTTTGCTTCCCCTTTGTGATCACCAGTAGCGTGCAATGAGCCAGATGGCGTAGGCTACAAAATTAAAGCAGTTGAAAAGCATTTTCAATATTTTGCTTAAAAGACAAAAAATTGTTATTGATATGAAATTTCAGTGGTAAATTCCTCTACTATAAAATACTACTTTTCAGCAAAACTTTAAATATATTCATACCACCCGAGTAATCTTTGATGTCCAATCAAATTCATAATCGTATGTCGACCCCAGTTTATCGAGGACTGACTTGAATAAATTACAACAGTAATCATAGTCAGGAGCTTCAAAAAAATCTAATCGTCTGGCGTACCTCAGATACTGTGCAAACTCATCTGCAACTGCAGGCAATGACGTACTATATAGAAACCAGTTTATAAACTAAATCATCTTATATCCAGAAAAAGGCTTTTAGAGACAGACAAACAAAAAATTGATAATCTCAAAAAATATTTATAACGAGGTAATAAATGTAGAAAAAAACGTAAAAAAAACCACAAC